TGACGACAACACTTGTAATACTAGAACGTATGTAACACCAACTTTAAAACATGACAGACTGGTAGTGTTTCTTGTCTCATGAGCTACCTTATTTAAAATCCTTGAGACGGCGTACAGAATGGTGAAATCGCCAATCTCCCTTGAAGAAAATGCCCGTTATGCCATAATGCATCTTCGAGAATGTAACCAAAGCTTGTTTACCGACAGGTCCACAATGCAATCGGCCAATAGGAATGGAGAACCGCCGCATACGAAACCAGCAGATCAGCGCCTCTTCAGAGTGGGACGCAAACCACGGTGCACGTCTGGCCAGACTCAATCAGAAGCGTACAGGACGAACTATGGGGGCGTGGTCAGCACGTGTTAATAACGCTTATCAGTTTCTACAGATTGATTTACGAGTACCAATGAAGGTAACAAGTGTCGCGACTCAAGGAAGAAGTGATGCCAATCAATGGGTGACTAAATACATGCTGTCGTTCAGTCTTGATGGAGCACATTTTGCAGTTTATTGGTCGCAAGGAAGACCCTGGGTATGTTGTTAATTTATTGATTCTTTACCCCGTTCATGGATAGATTTAGTCAATCATATTTATTCTTTCATTCATTCATTTATCCATACATCCCTACATTCTCCCTGGCTATTATTACCGTCATTTTTAAAGTGGCAAACTTCGTTCTCCCATACTAACGGCGTGGCTAGAGCTACTTTGTAAAATTAAAGCCTTAATGAACTTTTGCTGATTACAGTCAAAAGAGATAGGTATTACCACTACACAGATTTTGAAAACTGGAGTTTCAAAAATTTCAGGGAAAAAAAGCATTTTTTTTTTAAATTTTGTAGATTTTCTGCACAATCTCACTAATTAACTCTAATTTACATTTTCTTTTATGTCATATCTCAGTACTTTAGTGGAAACCGCGATAGAAACACTATTAAGCAACACAGACTGTTCCCAGTCGCTCGCGCCAGGTTCATACGATTCCTCCCCAAAGGATGGTACAGACACATCTCCATGAGAGTTGAAGTCAATGGTTGCCCTGCTGGTAAAGTCACTTTACTTCTGTGTTTGTTTGTTTGTTTGTTTGTTTGTTTCTTTGACTGTTCTCCTGTTAACTGTCGTGATATGACCTATTGTTTGCGAAAATTCAACCTCTCGTTTTTTTCTTTATGTAGTGAAGTCCTGTACAACCTTTATACAGTTCCATCATTTATGGCCCTTGAAAAAGAAGAAATAAAAAATTTAAAAAAGAACTTTGGTGCTCTCAATATAGTTTTCAAAAGAAAATTAGATTATTTTGAATTGTCACTTGCGTCTCTCAGTTACATGTGAATTCTAAGGTTTGGAACCAAACTTGTGGTTGCGAATTTTCTTCTGTAACATGACGGTAAAGTGAAACGAACTTTATTGATTTGTCTCCAATGTCATTGAAATGCGCAGTAACAATGAAAGACTGTCTGGAAAAACTGTCGTAATGTTGTTACCAAGCCTTCTTCATTCAATATAATTCACTCAATGACAATCCTTTTCTTCTTAACTTGTCATCTTTTCAGGACGTTGTGCTCTTCCCCTTGGTTTGGAAGACAAACGAATACAGGACGGTGCCCTTAGTGCTTCAACATATTACAATCACCACTTGGCTCCTTGGCTGGCACGACTTAATTCTATCCGTTCATGGAGTACACGTGTGAATAACGCTCGTCAGTATCTGCAGATAAACCTTGGAAATATTGGACGCGTTACAGGAATCGCCACACAGGGCAGAAGGGACGCGCATCAATGGGTGACTCGTTATATGCTGTCGTATGGAGATGGAACCAAGTTTGTAGCCTATAGGGAAAGGAATAAAGTCAGGGTAAGTTTTTTTTTTTTTGGACCACTTCGAAGCATTGTTTTAGGTATTTTCTCCACAGTTTTCGTATTTTATAAAGGACCTCGTCAAATGATTGCAGTCATCTCGCTCTTCCTTCTGTGATTATATTTTCATGTACGAGGCTTGTCCTGTAATCAAGAACCTAGTTTTGCGGCCGATAATTTGGCAACCGTGTTCAGAAATTTCCCACGTGATCTCTCTCGCCCGGTTGTCAAGATGCAACAGAGCTAACATTTCTCATCTTAAAGTAACTACACTGAAATATTTGCGCGGTAAAGCGGGCTGAAATTTTTTCTGGTAACCTGGCTGTCTGGCTGAAGAGGCATTAAACGCACTATCCAGATCTAACTTCATCGTTTTTGTTTCCATCTTTTAGATGTTCCGTGGAAACTCAGACAGAAATTCAGTTGTATCCTACACATTACTCAGACCATTCAAAGCGCAGTATGTCCGTTTTCATCCCAAATCCTGGAGAAGTCACATATCAATGAGAGCTGAAGTCTACGGATGTCTTAAAGGTACAAATGATATAAGGGACGATCAGGCTAAGGAGGAAATCACCATTATAAGAGATATCCTTATATCAATTATTTAAAACTATCATTAGCTCACGGAAATCCTGTGAGAATTTAGTAGTGACCAAAGCTGAGTCGCTCGAATGGATTTCTCTCGCGTTTTGAACGGGTGTTTGACCTAAAAGTTTCTCTGCTTTGAGTTAAGTGTCTGACTCACTATAATTTTTATCGCCGTTGGAGTCTGATTGGAGAATTGGCTGTTTCAAAGAAGTTTGACTGAAGTAAGACCCAAATACTCAGCCTACCTTGTAAAGGTCTCTCGAAAATAAGACGTTCACTACCCTGATGATTATGTTAATAGAGAGAAGACTGGCGTATTCCTTTGTGTTCCAGAATTAACAAGATTCTGCAGCTTCCCACTCGGTGTACAAAGCGGCCGCATCAAGAATAGTCAGATGACTTCATCGTCTATATGGAACCGTTACCACGCACCATTCCTTGGAAGACTCAAACGCGTGCGTACTGGTCGTTACATGGGAGGATGGGCAGCTAGACACAATAACCATAACCAATGGATACAGGTTGATCTCGGCCGTGTCTTCAAGGTTACAATGATATCGACACAAGGAAGGAAAATTGTGAAGCAGTGGGTGACGCGATATACAGTCTCGTACAGTTTGGATGCCGTTCACTATGTATCTTACAAACAGCGAGATCGACTGAAGGTATACACCCGTCTTTGTGTTAAATATTTCTTTTTTTTTTTAATCTCGCCTCTATTGTCTTATTGACACGGCTACCTGAGTTGGTATGGAGCCTCTATTTCATTTTGGGTTTATTGTTTGGCTTAAACTTGGCCACTCTTGGAAGGAGACAGGAATCAGACGTAGGATTTAAAAATAAGGGCTTGTGGTCTCTTTGTGTTTTGTATTTTGTAAGAACCCGGTCGTTTAAAAACGTTTTGATGCTATGTGAAGCAGAAAATAAACAATTTGCCCCAAGATGAGTTTCAATGCCTTCTAAAAGGTAAGCGGGCATTCACAGGGGTTGGTTGTTCAAAACGCAGTCAGCACTCATTTAGGATGAAAAGTCAAACATGATTCTATAGTATCTCTTGAGGGCATTTATTGACTTTTCTTTCATAATCGTTTTCATAATTGCTTTCCCTATAAAGTACTTTGTAGGAAACTACGATGGAGAATCGATTGTTACACGCACACTGACTCCACCAATAGTAGCACGTTATGTCCGTGTTCACCCTCGTGGTTGGTACAGGCATATCTCCATGAGACTTGAGCTGCATGGTTGTACTCCAGGTGAGAAACACTACGTAAATAAACCAACACATAACTCTAACAACTAATTCAACCCTTTCACTCCCAAGATCTCTTTAGTAATTCTCCATACTGTCTGTCACATATTCCTTATAATTTTATATCAGAGAATTTAGTATTGGATCAAATCTCCTTTATGAGATTTTTCTTTGTTCTCGTCACTTTTTTGCTTGTGGTTGTATTTACATTGTAAGGAGAAATTATGTCTTGGTCTGTCTTGGGAGTGAAAGAGTTAAACACTTTGCAGTCTAAGTTTCGGTATCACCTTTGTTTGGAGAACTGGTGGGATATTTTCCGATCAAATTGTCTTTCTAGTAGTACTTATTCAACAATTAAATTTTTTTTTATTTTCCAGAGCGTTGTGATATTCCACTGGGCTCAGAAGACGGTCGCCTGCCTGATGTGTCTTTCACTGCATCCTCTATCTACAATGCTCATTATGCCGCCTACCAAGGCCGACTGAATGCCATGCGCAGCGGCTCAAGATACGGCTCATGGATAGCACGTTACAACAACAGGCGTCAGTGGTTCCAAGTCGACCTTGGAAACCGAGCGATTATCATTAAGATAGGAATCCAAGGAAGATATGACGCCAATCAGTGGGTGAAGAGCTTTACAGTTTCCTATGGAATGAATGGATTTCACTTCAGGTTCTACAAGGAAGGAGGGCGAACAAGGGTATGTGAAACCACCATAGGGAAGTTCAGTTTAGTACGGGGCATTCTGTTGATGAACGCGCGGGCCATAATCTGAGCAACACTACGTTGATAATAAAAAGTTGCGTACCTAAACTTGTCTCAGTATCGGATTTTCAAAAGAGGAACCTCAAATACTTAAATTGAGGCGAAATAAAACTTGCCCATTTTCCATACATGTAGACTGTTGCAACTGTCTTTCTATAATCCTCATCACTGTTTTATTATTTCGATTTGTACAGGTCTTCCAAGGAAACTCCGAGAGGCAAATTGTCGTTATAAACCGTTTCCGGTCACCGATCCGTGCTCGTTTTATAAGAATGTATCCACAGACTTGGCATGGCCATATTTCAATGAGGCTTGAGCTTTACGGCTGCAGTAGAGGTAAGAAATTACAAGTCCCATCCCAAATCAACATCAGTGAGTTTCGCATGTTTTCTTGGTGATTGCACTTTTCAAGGGGCTTGCTAGATTGGAAGGGTACCTTTAGGGTTTCTCTGGCAAATGTACGCGTCAACTCATCCAAAATAGCAGTTTTTGTCACGAATGAGTCTTACTCTGAAATTCTCTCTGTTCAAAATAAAGAATGTCAATTTTATCACTCGGGATCTCAAAAAAAAAATTTTTTTTAAAAAATTGCTATTTTACCTGATGTTTTTTTGTGGTTCGTCAAATTTTTCTAATTTATGTTAATGGAATAATGTTTTTTCTAGGTCACATGTGCAATCGACCGCTTGGGATGATGACGGGGGCAATTAAAAATTCGGCCATCACAGCATCATCCATGTGGGATAAACATCATGCACCATTTTTGGCCAGGCTTAATGCACGACGCATGGGCAGATATCAGAGTGCCTGGTCAGCCAGGTAAAGAAACAAGAAATTTAAAATGTTATATTTATGTCGTAGGGTATATAACGCGCTTAGTGTCATTGACTATTGTGGGCATGAGCAATGAGACTTTGATCTTTGCCACCGTTCAAAAGAGCTAACTCAAGTATTTGGCATTAAAATTTCTACCTTTAGCTATTGCATAAGGCTAGAACTATGTTTTCATGGTTAGTATGGAATGTGTGGGGTCTGGGTGGTCCAAGAAACATTAATATAAGGAAGAGTGGTTCACTCTTTCACAAATGAAGTTCAGTCTCATTTATATCTTCTTAAAACAATTAACAAGGTTTTTATTTTTCATTCGAAGGCATAACAATCGTCACCAGTTTCTACAGATAGACCTGGGAAAAATATCAAAGATAATACGTGTGGGTACGCAAGGACGAGCTGCAGTGAATCAATGGGTAACAGTTTACTATCTGTCGTCCGGTGTAGACGGCGTACACTTTGCTAGATACAGAAAGAACTCCGTGGATAAGGTGAGAATCAAAGTGACAGATCGTAAATTACGCAAGCTTGCCTAGAGTGAAAACCAGCTACTTTTCTTGAGAAAGTTAGACTCAGGAGATAAACTAAACGTTCGATATTCTTAAACGAAATATATGAGTCGCATATTCTTGAAGTATATGGTGTAAAGGTAATTCCGGGCACATTTAGGCCATATTGCATTTTTATCAGGAAAGTTAACAGAATATTCAACTTCTCAATGTGGCTTAAAACGTTAACCCTGTAAGTCCCAAGATTCAATAAGTAATTCTCAGCTTTGACTGTCATACATTTCGTCTTAGACAGGAGAATTTGGTCTTTTTATATCAAAGGATACTCTTTAGCCGATAAGCTTGTGTGTTCTTCATTATCTCTTTGAAAAATAATATATTGGAATTACAAGGAGAAGCTAAGTGTCGATCACCTTTAGGAGTTTAAGGGTAAATAAATATTAATTGAAATTATGACAGTAGGAGGTGATAAGCCAGTTTTGCTTCTGCACTGGTCCATTTGCGACATATTCAGTGATTCTTTCATATTTCCATGTTTTGGTTTCACTAAGTGAAGACGTATTTTTTCTATTGTATTCTGGCAGCTGTTTTACACTATGTCCTGTATACATAGTACCAACATCTTGCTTCTTTTTTTCAGTATTTCCGTGGCAACCGTGACAGAAATACAATAGTTTATAACTCAATTATTCCGTCTATCCGAGCTCGCTTCCTTCGAATCCATCCCTGGTCGTGGCATGGCCATATCTCCATGCGGGTCGAGCTGTTTGGCTGTGCTTTAGGTGAGGCCATGTGGGAACGTTTTATAAATGCGTGTTGTTTTCCTTCTGTATTATACTGTTTTTGTTTTGTTTGTTTTTTTGTCTTTATTCCTGGTGAGTGGGGTTTGTGCGCTTCAGTGTGGTAAAATAGAAGAAAGACATTCGGAACTCAGGGAATTAAATACATTTGCATTGACATTGTAATAAAGGGTCAATGTACATTGTAACAATCACTTAATTATCCTCAAGTACGTGGAAAAGATTATTAAAACGAAAAGTATCGAGGAACTGCCATAAACGTTTACGCTTACTATAGATGGTTGATGATAAGACAAAACAAAAACTCTCCGCGCGTTGCATATTCTGGCTCCGCCTGTGGTATTAGAATCTTTTTTCTCTCTGCATTAGCTGACTTACCAATAGCAAGAAATACTACAACGTCTTACAGCAATGGACATGATACATGAAGCAAGGAGAACTCATACTAACCCTTCATTTATTTTTGTCAGGTGCATGTGGTGCTCCACTCGGTTTTGAGGATGGCCGCATTCCAAAGTATGCCATGACAGCCTCGTCAATGTGGGATTGGCGGCATGGTCCTTATAGAGCTCGTTTGAATCTTCTGAACCGCGGAGGCACCGGAGCCTGGTCGACGCGTTATAACAATGTATTCCAGTGGATACAGATTGACCTAGGTGAGGTGTCAAAGGTTGTTGCTGTGGCAACGCAAGGCCGATACGATGCCAATCAATGGGTGAAGAAATACGAGATAAGCTACGGCTTGTATGGCAACAAGTTTAAGTTCTACACAATCAACAGAAAAGTCGTGGTAAGAACTGTTTATTTTTCGCCTTGTATTTGCAAAAATGTCACTCCAGCACCTAGATTTGATTGATTAAAATCCGATGACTTTTTTTTTTTTCAATTTCTCTCAGATGTTCGCCGGTAACAGTGACAGGAACACAGTAGTCTTTAACAGGCTCTACCCCAGTTTCCGTGCTCGGTATGTCCGATTCTATCCCAAACAGTGGCACAGTCATATCTCCATGAGAGCAGAGCTTTATGGTTGCAATAGAGGTAAGGAAACCTTAAATTACATCATTACATCATTACATCATCGCCACATCAAAATTACATCATTAAATTACATCATTACATCATCAAAAAAATTATTTATTAATTTTAGTAATGCTACCCTGACAGTATTTCACTTTCCCGAAATAAAGCTCAAATTTTCTGTTTGTTTTTTTGGTAAGAGTATTCTTCCAATCAAGAAATAGGGCAGTTTAAAAGAAAGGAAATGTTTTGAAAGTTCTCATGTTCACGTTTTTTTCACTCGCAACTAAACTCTTATATTAATACAAACAACAAAAATTTAAAAGTAGGCAACACTCACTAATTATACAAAGAGGTCAGATCTCTCACTCCAAAAATGTATGTCCAGAGGATTTTACCAAATGTTCTCTTGCTTACTTATTTTTCCATTTTTAATAATTTTTTTTATTTTCTATCAATTTTTCTTTTTCTTTGATAGCCATGTTGCGCATGTGCTTCCAGCCACTTGGAATGCAGAATGGTAAGATACCAAACAGCGCCATCAGAGCCTCGTCTCAATGGGACAAGAACCACAATCCTGCTCGGGCGCGACTCAATATAAAGTAAGTTAATTAACAAGACTGCATGACTGAAATCAGACTTAGCCCATTCCCTTTTTGTCGTGCGATACTGCAGACATGAAGGGAATGGGGCTAGGTCGAGACGACAAAAACGGGGACTAGTCTTGTACCCAGCTCCTCTCAACAAACATCCTCGCTCTATATCCAGAAAAAAACAGGCCTTCTCGTAGTCCACATGACAAATGTTGTATTTAGTTCGGCAGGTTCTCACTCACTTCAAGTGTCCTTAAAAGTTTTCCCTGAGGACAAATAGTTATTCCAGTTTTTTTTACAGGACAAGTAATCAAATGAAATATAAGTTAAAGACAAACGTGACTCGTCAAAGACACCTCCAAATGAAATTGTGAGTGAGTCTTAATCAAACTTGTTATATTTTACAGGAAAGTGGGACGTCTGGTGGGTGCATGGTGTACAAGACATAACAATCATCGGCAGTTTTTACAAATCAATCTTGGAGGACCAACCAGGATAACTAAGGTCGCCACACAGGGTCGGTATGATGCGAACCAGTTTGTCAGGAGCTACTATGTGTACTACAGTCAAAACGGAAGGACGTTCCTGCCCATTAAAGATGGAGCAAAGATTAAGGTTTGTAAACAAAATTGCTATGGGTGTAAAGTAAAGCCGATCTACTCTTAAGGGGCACTCTCTTTCCAGAGAACATTACCATCCAAGAGACACAAGCTGTAGTCCCAACGAAAAAGATGTTCCTATTACTGTTGTTTCTTTGGTCTTAGTGAAGGGACACAATTACGCAAGGGACACTTTTTGTTTCCCACGGGTACCATCTGAATGGAGGTTCCTCAGTATCTGTTGCCATCAGTGAAGGGACATTTTCATTTAGAGGACCCTTTTTTAGTCTCAATAGTGCCCCCGTAATGGAGGTTCCACTCTATCTGTCACCTTCACCTCGCTTTAAGTGACACTTTTTATATTCTCGAGGGTGTCGAGGGTGTCCCCCTGAAAGGAAGTCTCACCATATAAAGAAATAGAGCCTTAGGTATTATCTTGATGTAACACCAAATTCTCTGAACTATTTTGAAGGGCAATCAAGATAGAGGAGGAAATTTTCTTATGTTTCCTGGGAGTTTCACTAACAGTTGACTCATACAGGCTTTTTACGTGTTCTCTTTAAGCTATTCCGAGGCAACTTTGACCGGTTCTCCATAGTGGAGCAACCCATTAACCCACCAAAGAACGGAAGATATGTGCGGTTTAACCCCAGATCATGGCACGGTCATATATCTATGAGGGTTGAAGTGTATGGCTGTCGCGCAGGTAAGGTTTGAATTGACTGACTGACTGACTCACTCACTCACTCATTCACTCGCTCACTCACTGACTTTCTGACTCACTGACCAATTTGCTGACTCAGTAACTGAATCACCAACCGACTGACTGGCTGACACTCAGACTCAATACCTCTTTGACTCAATGACTCCTCGACTGACACCCCGACCAACTGAACTGACTCAATGACTGACTGACTGACTCATTCACTTATTCACTGTCTTACCAGCTGATTGATTGATCTTCTTTGTGTCAGATTATCCGGAGATTTCCCATCCAGTCGTCCGTGCTGTCACCAAACATGGCCGCGGCTGTGCAAAGATTGCACTTCGCTGCTACTTCAACACCAGGGGACGAAGAAACAGTCGAATAATAGCCCGTGTACACTGGATTGTGAACAAGAAAGTTACCAAGGCAGAAACTGTTCGAGGAAACTATGCTGAACTCTTAGAAAACACATATGGATTTAAAGCTGGAACAACGGTTTGTAGAATGAAATCGTCCTTTTTGTAACTGGACAAGTCGAGTCAGCGAAACTCATTGCATTGTTTTCAAAAACTATTTGGTTTGTTGCTTGATCGAGTATTCACGAACAAAAAAGATGTTTTGTCAATGAAAAATTCGTATGATGAAATCTGAAGAGCACATTGATAAAGCAGAAAAAATTAACTCTTGTAGAAGAGTGATTGTGAAGTCTTTTACAAGTCAAGTTATTAATCATTTCAAAGTGAGTCGCACCCAACAAGACCGCCCGTTCACAAACAGGGTATGTTAAAGTCTTCTTAACATGCGACGTCAACCAAGTCACAAACATCAAAATTATATGAAAATTATTTGAACTGGAAACAAGACAACTCATAACGAGACCTTGCGACACAATGTTGCTGTTGGATGCAATATAGTCGCTACTGTGAAAATGGAAGGTCACCGTTTTCCCGAATACAATGTATGTCTTTTGATTTCCTAGTATTGCCTACTTGACTTGAATATCAGTATTTTTTTTATGTGGAAAAGAGATTTTAAAAAAAACACATTTGTTTCCAATACTTGCAGGTTGCTTGTAAGGTAAAGGCGCGGTATTCCAGTGGAAAGGACTGGACAATGGCTCAATTAAGTAAAGCTTTTTTCACAGGCATTAAGGTAAAATTTACTTCTCTCGCTCTCTGCATTTATACACTTTAGCCTCCTGTTGTTGAGTTCGTTTAGTTGAGGATTATCTTCAGACAAAACAAGGTTAACCCTTCAACTCTCATGAGTGACCAAGAGAGAATTTATCCTGACACTATCAACACAATATCAAGCAGACAAGTGGTGAGAATAAAGAAAAATATCGGGGGATTTTAGTTGATCCAGTGCCAAATTCTCTCAACTGACATCATAAGAATTGTATGGCCATGATGCAAATAAGAGAATTAGTAAAAAAGATCTTGGGAGGGAAAGGGTCAACACTGGCTAAGATAAATGCCAAAGTATTTTTTAAATCTAGTAACCTAAGTGAGAGATGTTATTCATTTGTTATGAAGGTAGACGAAAAGAAAAAATGTAAGTCATCTGCTGGAAAATAGAAAATTAGACCTTTAAATTTTCCTCAGAGACTCTACAGTGAGCTAGAGCCATTGCAAGGTTCATTTGTGACACTGCTATTAGCATTCAATTTCTTTCTCTAATTTATCTCTTTTTATGATTGTTTTCCAGGTTAATCCTAAAGCGCTCACAATGACGGACAGCTCAGGCTGGAAATTAATCAGACTTCGTAGCTTGGTACCAATCAGATGTCGTGGTCGTCGAAGTTGTTCTGTGATCATCAAATTTCAGTCTCATACAAGATTTGTGACGGACAGATGTAAAATGACTCTGACAGAAAGAAACAGGAAAAATTATGGGTTTTATCTTAAACCTGTGAGAGATTTCAGAAAACTGAAGAGAAGTAACGTCCGTGCTTACTTCAGTCCCATTAGGTCCACTCCTGGACTCTGTGGATTCTGGAAAGGTTACACTCTTCCACCGATCAAGGTGAACAGTGATTTTATGATCAGCGTTGTTATTGACTGAGTGAGATAAAGTGTCACAAAGAGCTGTGGATAACCCAGAGTAAAAAGCGCGGGAAAACGCGGGTGACCAAGTCGCGACTGGGTTTAGTTTGGCAACTGGTTGGTTGAGAGGATGGCGCGGGATCTCTTGACAAATAACTGAGTGTCTCAGAGCAAAACCAGTGTAATAAGGATTTCTTATTTCCTTTTTGGCACCCAACGAAAATTACTTACTCGATTTTACTTAGTTTTGTGTTTCTTTGATATGTAGGAACGTCTATCAATTCGATCGTAGAATTACATTGAATCTAATAGGAGAACGTTCTAGGGTTTTTCGGATACGGTAAAGCTCTAAGCTACCTAACTGATTGATTTTCTAGGTCATAACATCCAACAGAGGTGTCAAGAAATGTCACGGAACTGGAGATCCTCATTATCGAACATTTGACAACAAGTGAGTCGACTGCTCTTTGACTTGTATACCAGAAAATCGTGGTGGATGGGCTGCATCCCACTACCCAAGGGATTGATTTTATTTGTATTTGCCCCTCCCTACAGAGTAAATTGTGTATACTTCTTTCTTAGACTTTACTACTCAAGTCATGCTTCGTGGTAGGAACTGTTTTTTTGTTGGTGTTTAACATTGCTGTGTGTTTTTCTTATTTCAGGTATTACGACATACTGAGGAACGCTGGCACTTACGTTATGGTGAAGAGTTTGAGAAGAAATTTCGAGGTATGGACTTTGACATTGATTATACAGCCAACTCTGCGCTCCATTTTGGCTCGTGCTGTAAGAGCCTTGATAGCGGTGGCCTAACGATTAGTCCGTTAGAGTTCGGGCAGAGAGGTGTGGGTTTGAAACCTGGCCGGGTCGTTGTGTTGGGTTCTTTGGAAGGACACTTTGCTCTCACCAGGCCTCTGTCCACCTCACCAGGCCTCTCTCCATCCAGGAGTGTGTTTGGTATTCGCAAACTGTCAAGGAAACTTGACAAAATGCCTTGGAGGGGGGGTTAACATTCGATGGACTAGTATCCCATCCAGGGAGGGTAGCAATACTTGTCGTCCCGTCATGCTTCAGAAACCGGGATAGACTTCTGCCTTGTGCGCCTATGGTACGAGCGCTGACTTTGTTTTTTCACCTCCATATATGTCGTGTCTTTAGGTGCATGCTCGTCTATGGCCTTGCTGGAGAGTGGTATGTAACTGTGGTGTAGCCATCCGTGAGAATAATGATGTGGTGAATATTGACATGTGTCACGGACCTTGGAAAAGAACCAGCCCACGTGTCATCCAGAAATCACGCGCGCCTCTTGGCAACCGAATGAGAATCCGACGATATGGATCTGGTCAGAGCACGCGCTTTAAGGTTTGTGTCAAAACGTCTTTCGTTTCACTTTCTGTGAGTTGAACAGGTTACGGGTTAGTTAGGTAAGGGGAGTAAGAGTATTAGAGGTTAAGGGTGGGTAAGTTGATTCGTGAAAGTGAGACATTGCAAATTGCATTCTGTTCGATATGCGAAAGGAGGAATTTTGACATACTATAACAAAAGAAACTTTTATACCCTGGATCTCCAGAGGTGCAACATTGGAGATGTACATATTAGTTTACTAGATATGGTTTTTATTAATTCTTTATTCTCTTAGCGTCTGTTGTGAGAAATCCTTGGCCATCTTCGTAGATCGTTTGTTCGAAGGGTGGTCAACGCTATGCACTGAATAAATCTCTATCCGGTGGATAATGCTGTACGTATTGTTGACCATAATCCGCTGAATGGTGATTCATCTGTTGAATAGCGTTGTCTGTCCTTAAACCTCTGGGCCTTGGTCTTAAAATAGTCAATTTTAGATATCTTGTTGCGCAGAGTAACAATTAACCAGTAATGTTTTGTTTTCAGGTGATGATGAAGTCAGGTGCAATAGTCGAGGCTAACTGTGCTAACTGGGGTATGAGTTTGTACGTCACAGTCCCTGGTGTAGACTCTGGATCCACTGTGGGACTCTGTGGAAACAACAATGGTAACCCGCACGATGACTTGGAGAGAAAGGGTATCTATACATTCGCAAATAAATACAGGTGAGTTGTCAGAAAGAACCCTGCAAAAAATCGTAGCGAAAACGACCTTTTTTTAATTTCTTTTCCTGCCTTGCTATAACAGTTAACTGGTTGATAAAATGGTCTTAGGAGAAATTTATTTAATAAGCTATTATGAAGTTAAAAAGGGCGTGGAAAAGAGATTCTACACTTTACTTCTTGGTCGAGAAGATTGGTTCAGTAGAGTGAGACGCAGGAGTTCGCTACGCCCCGCGCCCTTAATATCGGGGAGTTAAACCTTTAACGATCGCACAGCGGAATCTAATCGGCCTTAAAAAACGGCAGTTTCAGTGCAATGATAATAGATGTGAATAATATATATTTTGAGGTTGCAAGATATTGTACTAATTATAATATGTTTTTGTTTTCTCTTTTAGACTGCGTCCAGGTACCAGTCTCTTTGAGCGACTGCCTCCTCGCATCTCATCTCTAAGTCGACGCGTCAAGCCATCTTGCGCATGCGTTAAGAAAGGCAACCGCCGCTTCAACACATGTGACGTGAAGCCACTACCAGACACGGACAAGGGCGGGAAATCTGTGAAACCTATCAAAGTTCGGCCTCATCCGAAGAAACCCGGACGAACCGATAATAGAGATTACGACCCGAACTCTATCAACTATGTCTTTAAACCTCCCAAAGTGAAGTATCGTGTTCCTACCTGGCCAACGAAGTCGGGAATCACTCGGAAGAAGGCGATAAGGCATTGTAAGAGAGAAATCTCGCGTATAGTGCGCGTATGCAAGAAGGTTGTGAGTGCCAAGAAGTTGAAAGTCATGACAGAGTGCGTGACCGATATCAAGGTAAGCTACCATAGCATTGATTCCTTCTCGTGAACACTTTTTTTTAATCATAATCATAAGGATCTTAGAAGAGTGTGAATTACAGAGTGATTTTCTTGACTCAACTGGAGTGTGCTGCGATGCGCAAACATACAGAAAACGTGGTATTTTTAAGTTGTACCTGTAACAGCAAATGTTACACTCGATCTCTCCCACTTTTTTTAAAAAACTTTTCAAATGTTAAGCTCCAGTACTTAATTCTGTATGGGGTTTGAAGATTGCAAAAACGTGAGGCGATCATCGAAGTGACAAGACAGGTGCAGGTCCATTATCAGGTCGGTTAGAATGGTCTGTAAAACCATTAGCTGAAGCAATTCACGTCTCTCTTTTTCCCTCGTGGATCATGAGGACTTGTCTCGGCTAGAATCTGCTGCGGTTAACAAAACACTCAGCTTATGTGGTATTTCTGTCTTACTTTTACATCCCTACAATTTTGAAGCGCCACTATTTAACTCTGTAATTAAAGGTTTCACGGACTGAAAAAACGTGAGGCTTTCAATGAAGTCACCATAACGGTTTAGGTACAAATCTATAAAACCATGCATTAGTGCAAAATGCAGTTGGTCTTCAAGATCAAGCAAAAAAGTAAATCGGAAAAAATTAAACAGTTAGTTACCGTGTAACAAATCAAACGGAAATTAATTCACGTCAGAGGGAATATAGTTCGATGTTGACTGTGCTTTCTTCACCGTGTGCTAACATTGCTTTTTCTATTTTACAGATATCAGGTAAACTCTCCATGGCCAAGTCAGCATTATCCAGTCTGCAAGACGCTTGCAAAACTGCAGCTCTGGTGAATCCCAAAAACTACAAGAAGAAAAAGAATGGCAAAGTTGTCCCTAACATAAATATCCTCGGCAAGCTTTGCCCTGACAACTGCAACAAGAGAGGTAGATGTGTGAACGGAAAATGCCGCTGTTATCGTGGTTATGCTTCAAGTGATTGTTCAGTCGACAAGAGAAAGCCGCCTAAGATTGATGGACTTCAGTCAAAGGGCATGTGTGACTTGAGGAAACGGGCGTGTCGTTTTGCAAGCGTATATGGGCTTGGCTTCTGGGAAGGTCACTTAAACTGTCACGTGCAAAAGGCTAGGGTATGTGTTTATTGTATTTTTTGTTTGTTTGTTTGTTTGTTTGTTTTTTCTGCAAGAGCATGGGAGGTAAGAATAGGAGACAGGACACAACGAAAGGTCCTTGAAACAAACTGTTTGATGTTAAAGTCCACTTGTTTTCTGGTACCGATCATACGCACGGATTCAAACCAGTTTGATTTGGTTCGGCCTCAGTTGTTATGGATCACTCACTCGTTATGCAATCGCTGAGTCCGCTGACCAGGACTCAAGCCCAGCCATTTTGAATCACCACCAAGGTTGCTGACCATTACTTCACTTCCTGACATACAGCGACAATATAACAACAATAAGTATCGGTAACAACTATTTTTTCCTGTTTAGCTGATACGTCGCAGATGGCATGGAATTGGAGCACAGAAGAAGAACCGTGGTCACTTGCAGAGTTTCAGGGAAGCAAGATGTAAACTTCCCTTCAGCTTTCCTAAAGCAAGAAAACTCCGTGGCTTACCTCTGAGAATACTGATCTCAATTTCAAACAATGGCGTCTTGACCAGCAACCGGTTGAAATTGGTTATTTTCGACTCAGCTTGTCACAGATGTTTACCAAATGGACTCTGCTGGCGAAAGGTGCTACTTATTTCTGTTATACAGTGTCAGTTATGAATAACGGATTGTTCAT